TCGGTGTGAGTCTCGGTGGGATGATCGCGCAAGGTGTGTACAGGTCTGAACGAAAAGACACTATCAAGCCTGACTGACGTCTTCCGAGAACTGGCGTTGCGTATTTCCGACCGCATAGCGTCTCTCACTCTGTGCGTAACGACACCAGGCGGAATGCCATGGCAAAACCTCCCACCCGTCAGTCTCAACGTTCAAAATAAATAAAACAACTTGCATTGAGCCTCCCTCCAGTTTCAAGGCATCAAATCCCTCACCACGTATGCCACCGCATACTTCGTTGCCTTTCCACTCATATTTTGTACTTAGCCTTCTGTTCACAAAGGAACCCGCGGACAAAGTCCCAACCGTCCTGAACATGCTATATCCCTCTTCCTGGCTGGACGAACCCGCCGTGGACGACGAGCGCCAACGTTCCAATCGCGAGGTCCAAAGCGAGGTGCGTACCTACCTCCCTCCCACCCAATCACACAACACCGAAAACCCACCATTGAACGAACGCACAGCTCTACCTCCGCCGCGTCCTCCTCAGCCCCAAACAGCGCCTCACCGGACACGTCTCCCAGCTCCTCGCCGCCCTCACCCACCACGTCCCTCCCGCCCCCCTGCGCTGCCTCTCAACAACCATCCCCAAAATCGTCATCCTCTGCGGCGACCAAGACCACCTGGTCGACCTGCGGCATTCGCGCGCCCTCAAAGCGTGCATGCCCGAGGCCGAGTTCGTGCAGTGGAAGAATACGGGGCATGGGATTCATTCGCAGCGCCGGAGGGAGTTTCACGAGCTTATGGTGAGGGTTTTCGACGAGGCGGGTGGGGTGTGAGTTTATTTACGATGCAGGTGGGCGGGGGGTGTAATAGAATAATTGTATGATTAGATCTGTGTAATGTAATGCATTTCTCGATACACTTTAAGTTGTTACTTAGAACAAACCTCTACCTCCCCCGGCCAGATCTTGTATTTGAAAACCACACACGACGAATGAGCCATTAACCCCCTCTCATTATAAAGTAACAACCCACACCAATACAAGAAACACACCCTCCCTCTACTGTACTCTAGCACCAACTCTAGCTCTAGAATCTACGAGTCTACCTACACCCCCATCCCCCCGCGCATACAACAAGATACACCCGCGCGCACTCGGCCAACGTCCAACGTCCACAAGAGGCAAAAGGCAAAAGGCAAGACTTCACGCCATCCCCGCCGTAGCAGCACACCCCCCCTCCACCGCCGCCTGCCGCATCTCGCGGATCCCATCCCGGTGCGCGCGGATCGCCAGCACGATGCAGACGTGCCAGATTGCGTGTGAGCCTACGCGCGCGTCAGCGCGTGTTTTGTTTGAAGGGAGGGAGGGCAGGGAGGGAGGGAGGGTAGGTGGGAGGAAAGCAGGCAAGGAGGCTCGGCGCGCAACGCCATCGCGCACTCGGAGGAAGAGAGGAGCAGGCGAGGCCCAGCCTCATCGTGCATCGCGCTGTGGGCGCCTCAATCACATATCTACGCCGCACGAAAGCCCTCCCTCCTTCACTCACAGCCCGCCCCGCCCCGCCCGCAAAAAAAAAACGAGTAAAAGCAAACGCACCTCCCCCACACGCATCCGTAATCCTCCCCGCCCACCCCCTCCACCCCTGCCGCGCACCGCTCGCGCCGACCCCGCCGACCCACCGCTCGGGAATCTGCGCCGTGTAGAATACGAGGCCGACGACGTAGAGCGCGAGGGAGGGTAAGAGGGGGGCTGTAAAGGTATGTTAGCATGCGTTGGGTTTCTTTGTGCGCGAAGGGAAGGGAGGGAAGGGGGATGGGGAGGGGAAAGTAGCATAGGACGAGGGGAAGAAGACAGGAGACTCACCAACAAACGCAACCATCCGCCCCCACCCCTGCAACGCCGCGATCCCCGCCAGGGGCGCGAGCGCCGAGAAGGAGATGCCCACGAAGAAGGCCGTGCGCCAGAGCTGTGTGTGTGCGAAGGGTTATGGTTAGCATTAGCAGGGGTCGTTTGGATGGAATACGAAGGAAATGAAATGAAAGGAAGAAAGGGCGCGCGAGGCTGCTGCTGCTGCGCGCGCCGCCGGCGCGGCAAAATCCACGTTCGCTCGCGAATGCATTCCATCGAATACGCAGACGCGCCCCAAAAGTCGATCAAAAGTATCAAGACAAAAAACTCACCCGAAACTCGACCCGATTAAACCACTCACAAAACGGCAGCACGTTCCCCGAGACACCCGCCGCCGCGCACAGCACAAGACACGCCGCGCCCACCGGGTGGTAGGCCGGCCACTCGGCCGCCCAGGTCGCCGCGCGCGAGGGGAGGGAGACGAGTGGGGCAAGGAGGTAAGTGTACGCGGTTGCGAGGGCGGAGGCCGTGCTGGTCTCCACCACCGGCGCCGCCCCGCCCATGCCCGGGACCAACTCCTGCAGCCGCTCGATGGGATGCATCTCCCCCACGGCCTCAACGAACGAGGAGACGGGATGCAGGACGCGGTGCCCGAGCGGCGTCGCCTCGACGGCGGCCTCGGCGCAGGCGTACCCGTGGTGCACGACGGTCGCGATGGATGTTGCGATGAGCCTGGGGGAGGGAGGGGTTAGCGTCGATGTGAGATGTAAAGGGAGTAAAATGATAGGAATTAAAAGTAAAATGAGAAGTAGGATAGGATAGGATAGGACAGGATAGGGTAGGATGGGCGGGAACAAAAATGAAGAATGCAAGAAAGGAAGGATAGAAAGACAAAGAAAGACGCGGCACCGCACTAAGGAGCCGAGCGGCGGCACCATCGTCCCTAGCGATGCGCTCGAAAACACGGCGCATCGAGGGGAAGAACGCCCCGTCCCCCCACCACCAAAACACCTCAAAACCACGCCCCTCGCATAGGACAGAAAGCAAAAAAAAACAGCACTCACCACCCAATCCCCACATAATCCACCCTCGCACACGTCTCCATCGCGCCCCGATGCGCACACCCCGCCATCGTGTGCCAGAGCGCGCTCGCGGCGAGACAGGCGAGCGCGAAGAGGACGAAGAGGCGTTCGTCGAGGGGGAGTGGGGGTGCCGTTCCGTCTACTATTCAAGCTAATAAGGGGTAGTTTGGGGAAGATGAGGAGGGAGGAGGGACGCACCACCACCCGCAGCGAACAACGTATACCTTCCCGCGTCGCGCGTCAGCCACCCGGGGAGCACGCAGCCTAGTGCCCATCCTACCCAGCTTACAGCCCACCCCAGCCCCGCACCCACCGGCTTCAACCCCTCCGGCGCATACGCATCCAAACCCGCCATCACAGCACCAAAACTGAGTTGCGGCCACAAAAACGCACCGCCCCACAAAACCAGGGGCACCAAATGCGTGTACACATTAAGACTCTCGTTGTGCCACCACCGCGGCATCGGCAGCAGGGAGAGGAGGAAGAGGTGCGGGCGGTGCAGGGGGATGAAGCGGTAGTTCTGCGCGACGAAGGGGTTGTTCTGCCACGCGGGGGGGAGGGAGGTGTAGGAGAGGAGCTTGGTGCCGTGGGCGGAGAGGAGGAGGGCGTGGGTGTGGGCGGCTGCGTCTGCTGCGTCCGCTGCGTCTGCGTCCGTTGATTCGGCTGGGGCGGCGTCGCTGGAGGAGACGCGCGAGAGGGAGGGGAGGTTGGGCAGCGAGGGGAGCGAAGCGGGGAGTTCGGCGAGGAAGGCGTCGACGTCCGCGCGGAAGGCGTCCAACAGCTCGCGCGGCGTCGTAAAGTCAAACTCGAAATCAAAGTCAAAGCTGGGGCGGCTGAACTCGAAATCAAAGCTGGGGCGGGAGAAGTCGAAGGAGGGGCGAGAGGGGAGGGTAAAGTCAAGGGAAGGGAACTCGTCTGCGAGGACGCGGTGGAGGGTGCGGAGGCGCGCGGAGAGGGTGGGGACGTAGGAGAGGGGGCGCTTGAGGGTGAGGACGTCCTTGACCAGTCCGAGGTCGAGGTCGGGGAGGTCGGGGAGGTGGGAGGAGACGTCGGCGCGGATTGCGCGGAGCATGTCCAGGGCGCGGGCGGCGGGCGAGTCGGTGTCGAAGAGGGCGAGGCGGCGCTCGAGGTCGGCGAGGTAGGACAACACCAGGAAGCGGAGGGAGGCGAGGGCCTGGGCGGGGGAGGCGGCGGGGGACAGGTCTAGTGCTTCGAGGGAGAGCGGGAGGGGCCGGCATGGCGGGAGACGGAGCGGGGCGGCGCGGGCACGGGGGGCGGGGGCTGACATCCGACGGCGGTGCAGGCGCGGTGGGCGGGCCCCATCCTCGGCGGGAGCAGCCATGCAAGTTGAAAGTAAGGAGTGGGTTTCGGCCCGGATGCACTCCACCTTCATCAAAACGTTCATCTAAGATCGTGCTCGCTGTCGTCGGCGTCGTGTGGGTCGCATGCGGTCCTATGCGGTGATCTTCAAACGTGCATGTCGTCAAACGACTTGAAGCAGTCTAGTGTGATTCCAATCAAGTAGTGTGCAAAAAAATTGAACTCGCTGTCACATTCGCCAGACTGTCTCATTTGCTGCTTATTGAAGTTATTCAACAGTAGAACTCAAGCCTCTGCAGATCACCGGCAGATCGCCTCGGATTATTGTGGCGCGAGGATGGTAGCTTAGCGAGGAGACGTGGGTTCGATTCCCGCCAGAGGCTTGAACGGTTAGATGACACTTTTTTCCTCCTCAGCACGTTCTTTTTTGTTTTTTGTTTTTGCTCCTGGCCTTCTCTTTACAGGGGAATGCTACAATAAGTGATGCAAGCCGACGGAGAGGCACACGTGAGTTGACAGCGACACGACGGACTCGGGGAGGCATGTCTCCCGTAACTTGGCAATGGTTTTCCTCAACAGCTCACACAATTCATCCCCTCATCCCATCTTCCCCTTATTTGATTCAGCAATACTGAATATTTTTACAACGCAAAATGGAAGTTTAAATTCAACCACGGGAACACCTCTGCCAATTGCCGTTCCGCTCCACTTCTTCCTTCCTTCTCAGATCCGGTACACACTTTTATTGAACATCTACAGTGTCATTCAAGCCTCTGTGGATCAATGTTAGATCACCTCTCCCAAGTATGAGGTTAGTATGTTTGCAGGAGGAGATGTGGGTTCGAATCCCACCGGAGGCATGCCACTGCGTCAACGCACGTTTTCCTCCTCCCTACCGTTTTCTTTTTTTTCAATAATCAACCCTTCCTTCGTCCGTCGCCGCGTCAGCACAACTGTTACCAAAAGAAATCAAGTGGAACAGAATTCCATGCCAAGTTAAAGTCCATTTACTCCTCTTTTTTTTTGGGTGTGTTTGGATTTAGAACAGTACAATTGCAAGCACACCCCTGTAGATCAAGATCACTTAACTTCTCAACTCCACGTTGGCAAGTAACATCATGCTCGCTGTGTTCGGTGTTGTGTGGGTCGCATGCGGTGATCTTCAAATATGGCCTCCTCTTGGTCGAAGTATCCATGGTGCTTATATCCACATAGGGCTCCGGCCCGTCCGTCGACGGGTCTGTACCCGTCGCTTAACCCGTCAGTGGTCCTAACTCAATCAAAGATGGTCTGTTTGAGTTAATTCCGGCACGAATCGATGCGTACGGACTAGTTCTTTCAATTGTGCACTCATTTTGGGCGGTATTCTGCCAGATGCAACTGGAAATGCGGAAAATGATGTCAGATTTTCGACCCGGCTGATACTTTGGGCCAAAAACGGGTCGAAACTGACGGGTCGCATTTTCTCCTCCACCCGCTCTCGGATCCACAAGAACTTTGGTAGTCATAAACTAGACCACATTGGCTACAAGACTCTCCGCAAGCATTAATCTCTCAGAGCCACAAACACCTCATAAAAGCCACATCAAATTTGACCCGTTTTGACGGGTCGGAGCCCTATATCCACAGTACTCAAGCCTCTGCAGATCACCGGCAGATTGCCTCGGATTTGTTACAGTGACAACAAGTAGTGAGGAGACGCGGGTTCAATTCCCGCCAGAGGCTTGAACAGGTCAACTCAGGCCTTTTTCCTCCACCCGCCCGCACCACTTTTTTTGCTCCTTCACATCTTGACCTTTGATTCAGAAGCTGTGAGGATTTAGGAGGGTGCAAGCGAATACACAACAGCCTGCTGATTGAGTTTAAATTTCTGCACAACGGACTCGACCAACCCTTGGCTCTCCTCAACAGTTGACTGAATCCCTTCTTCTCTTCCCCTCGTTCCAAATGACCAAAATAAAATGTATCTTGGATGAACACCGTTCAAACGAAGAACAGCGGGGTCCAAATCGAACCGTGGGAACCTCACCAAAACTGCGGCTTTTTCCTTCTCAGATCCAGTACACACTTATATTAAACATCCACAATAGCCATGAAGCCTCTGTGGATCAGTGTTAGATCACCTCTCCCAAGTATCAAATGTGCGGGTTCCTCTGCAAGAGGAGACGTGGGTTCAAATCCCACCGGAGGCATAGACTAGCGGGCCGGAACTTTTTCCTCCTCCCTCCCCTTTATTTATTTCACCCTTGTTCTTCCTTCCTGAAGCTTACTGTACCTATGTCCTGCATGCACAGTAACAACCAAGCCTCTGTGGATCAACGTGAGATTGCCTCCGATTGTTTAATGTGCGTGAAGGTTCTTGGGTTCAATTCCCGCCAGAGGCTTGGAGCCTGCACTATCTTTTGCTCCTCACGTCTTCACCTTGGATTCATAAGCTTCAAGGAACTCGGGAGTTCATGCAAGCCCGAGTAAAAAAATCAGTTTCCGCACAATTGACTCGGGCAAGCCTTGGCTTTCCTCAACAGTTGACTGAATATTAATCCCCTCCTTTCTTCCCTCATTTCAAATGACCAGGGGGTAGACAATTCAAACGAAGATCAACACGCGAGTCTGTTCAAATCAACCGGGGGAACTGCTCGGTTTTCCTTGACTGTGATGTTAAGCTTCTGCAGATCAGGTGTCTACTAATTATATCGAACATATCGAACATTTTCAATAGCAATGAAGCCTCTGTGGATCAGTGTTAGATCACCTCTCCCAAGTATTCGGAGGCTCGCATGTTTGCAAGAGGAGACATGGGTTCGAATCCCATCGGAGGCATAGGATCATGATGTTCAGAAGGTTTTTTCTCCCTCCCCCTGATTTATTTCAACTTGTGTCTTCCTTCCTTAAGCTTACTGTACTTATATCCTACATGCACAGTAACATCTAAGCCTCTGTGGATCAACGTGAGATCGCCTCAGTTATTTGGCCACAGAAAAGAATTCTCGGGGAGATGTGGGTTCAATTCCCGCCAGAGGCTTCAATGGTCCGAAAACTCTTTTTTCCTCCTCCTCATCACGTTCTTTTTTGTTTTCTTGCTCCTGGCCTTGTCTTTACAGGGGAATGCTATGGTGAGGGAGTCCAAGTCGATAAGTTGACAGCAACACACCGGCACGTTGCTTGTAACTTGACAATGGTTTTCCTCGAGCTCACACAATTACCACCCCTTCCCCTTTCACCCTCATTCGATTCGGCAATACTGAATATTTTTACAGCGCAAAACGGAAGTTCAAATTGAACCGTGGGAACATCTCTGCCAATTGCCGTTCCATTCCACTTCTTCCTTCCTTCTCAGATCCGGTGAACACATATATCGGACATCCACAGTAGCAATGAAGCCTCTGTGGATCAATGTGAGATCACCTCTCCTAAGTATTTGAGTGCGCAGTTTCCACTGCAAGACGAGATGTGGGTTCAAATCCCACCTGAGGCATAATCTGAGTCTTCTGTTTTTTCCTCCTCCCTCCTCTTGTGTTTTGTTTGTTTTTCCAACAATCAACCCTTCCTTCATCCGCCACTGCCCGTTATGACTGTTGCCGAAAAGCAAGTTAAACAGAATTCCATGCCAAGTTGAAGTCCATTTACTCCTCCATGTTTGAATTTAGAACTTGCTCATTTGTGGGCGCAAGTACAAGCATGCCTCTGTGGACACTTGGATCGAACATTCACAATAACAATAAAGCCTCTGTGGATAAGCGTGAGATCACCTCTTCAAATATTGGACAAGACACATTGCAGTGCAATAGGAGACGTGGGTTCGAATCCCACTGGAGGCATACTGCGCATGTGTTGTACTTTTTCCTCCTCCCTTCCTACTGTTTTTTTCAACAGTCGACTGAGGCCTTCCTCCGCCGCTGCCCATCATGACTATTGCCAAAAAAAATTGAAGTTGAACAGAATTCTATGCCAAGTTGAAGTCCGTGCTCGCTGTCGTCCGCTCCATACTGTGATCTTCAACAGATTTATTCATATGCTCACAGTCCTACTCAAGCCTCTGCAGATCACAGGGAGATCACCTCGGATTTGTTACACGATCCTAGTGACAATGAGTAGTGAGGAGAGTGTGTTCAATTCCCACCAGAGGCTTAAACCGGTCGACTCAGGCCTTTTTCCTCGACCAGCTGACACCGTCTTTTTGGCTCCTCACATCTTTATGTTGGGTTTACAAGCTTCAAGGAACTCACGTGGGATGCAATCCCGAATACATGGTTTGTCAATTGGTTTCCGCACAATGGACTCGGCCAAGCCTCGGCCAAGCCTTGGCTCTCCTCAACAGTTGACTGAATATTAATCCCTTGTTTTCTTCCCTCATTTCAAATGACCAGGGGATACACAATTCAAACAAAGATCAACGCGCGAGTCTGTTCAAATCAAACCGTGGGAACTACTCGGTTTTCCTTGACTGTGATGTTAAGCTTCTGCAGATCAGGTGTCTACTAATTATATCGAACATTTTCAATAGCAATGAAGCCTCTGTCGATCAACGTCAGATCACCTCTCCCAAGTATTCGGAGGTTCGCATGCTTGCAGGAGGAGACATGGGTTCAAATCCCATCGGAGGCATAGGATTATGATGTTGTCCAGAAGGTTTTTTCCTCTCCCCCTGATTTATTTCACCCTGGTTCTTCCTTCCTTAAGCTTACTGTACTTATATCCCCCATGCACAGTAACATCCAAGCCTCTGTGGATCAACGTGAGATCGCCTCCGATTATTTGACGGCAGAAAAAAAGAATTCTCGGGGAGATGTGGGTTCGATTCCCGCCAGAGGCTTTAGCGGTTCGATGACATTTTTTTCCTCCTCAGCACGTTCTTTTTTGTTTTTTGTTTTTGCTCCTGGCCTTCTCTTTACAGGGGAATGCTACAATAAGTGATGCAAGCCGACGGAGAGGCACACATAAGTTGACAGCAACACGACGGACTCGGGGAGGCGTGTCTCTTGTAACTTGGCCTCAACCAAGCCTCAACAGCTCACACAATTCATCCCCTCATCCCCTCTTCCTTCATTCGATTCGGCAATACTGAATATTTTTACAGCGCAACACGGAAATTCCAATCGAACCGTGGGAACACCTCTGCCAATTGCCGTTCCACTCCACTTCTTCCTTCCTTCTCAGATCCGGTGAACACATATATCGAACATCCATAGTAACATTCAAGCCTCTGTGGATCAACGTCAGATCACCTCTCCCAAGTATTCGGAGGTTCGCATGCTTGCAGGAGGAGACATGGGTTCAAATCCCATCGGAGGCATAGGATCATGATGTTCAGAAGGTTTTTTCCTCTCCCCCTGATTTATTTCACCCTGGTTCTTCCTTCCTTACTTGTACTTATACCGAAAATCTACAATAGCAATAAGGCCTCTGTGGATCCGTGAGATCACCTCCGATTGTTTCGCGAACTAAAACATTCTTCGGGGGAGATGTGGGTTCGAATCCCGCCAGAGGCTTAAACGGTTCCAAAACTCTTTTTCCTCCTCATCACGTTCTTATTTTTGCTCCTGGCCTTCTCTTTACAAAAGAATGCTGTAATGCGGCAGGTCGACTCGGATGGAGAGGCACACATAAGTTGACAGCGACACGACGGACTTGGGGAGGCAAGTCTCCCGTAACTTGGCATGGTTTTCCTCAACAGCTCACACAATTCATTCCCCGGCAATACTGAATATTTTTACAACACAGCAAGACAGAAATTCCAATCGAACCGTGGGAACACCTCTGCCAATTGCCGTTCCACTCCACTTCTTCACTCCTTCTCAGATCCGGTACACACTTTTATTGAACATCTACAGTGTCATTCAAGCCTCTGTGGATCAATGTTAGATCACCTCTCCCAAGTATGAGGTTAGTATGTTTGCAGGAGGAGACGTGGGTTCGAATCCCACCGGAGGCATAGCCAGCGGGAGATTTTTCCTCCTACCGTTTCTTTCTCAGCAGTCACCCTTGTTTCGTCCGCCGCACCCCATCACGACTATTGCCCAGGGGAAAAAAAATCAAGTCAAACAGAATTCCACGCCAAGTCGCAGTCCGTGCTCGCCGTCGTCGCCGTTGGGTCCGCTCCATATCGTGATCTTCAACGCATTTATTCATATGCTCACAGTCCTACTCAAGCCTCTGTAGATCACAGGGAGATCGCCTCGGATTTGTTACACGATCCTAGTGACAATGAGTAGTGAGGAGAAGTGGGTTCGATTCCCGCCAGAGGCTTAATAGGCGCAGTCTGTCCTTTTTCCTCAAACAGCTTGCACCGTTTTTATTGCTCCTCACGTCTTCTCCGGTGACAAGCTTCACGGAACTCACGAGGCATGCAAGCCCAAAGACACAAGAGTTTCAAGTTGCCAATTCGGTTTCCGCACAACGGACTCGGCCTTCCTCAACATTCGACTGAATGACTTCTTCTCTTCCCCTCATTCTGAATGACCCAAATAAAATAAGATGTATCTCGGATGCCACAAGTACTTGACAGAACACACGATTCAAACTCCAACCTGCACCCGCTTTTTCCTTCTCAGATTCGGTAAGTACATACTTATCTCGAACATCTACGGTAGCATTCCGATCTGGTACACACTTATCTCGAATATCCACAATAGCATTCAAGCCTCTGTGGATTAACACAAGATCACCTCCGATTGTTAGGCGGGCTTTTGTATTCTGGGGGGAAATGTGGGTTCGAATCCCGCCAGAGGCCTAGACGTATAAAATGCTGTCTTTTCTTCCTGCTCAGTATTTTTGGCTCCCCTACTCGTCTATAAACCCAGTCTAACGGAGAAACACAAACACGAACATCACCAAGCCCGAGTGCTTTTTGGATGTACAAATCAAATTAAGTAATCGTCGGGGATTGCCGCTGCTGCCCGTTAATCGGAGGTTGATGATTAAACGACCCTCACGCCCTTGGGGTCCACTGGTTTGAATTCTACCATCTTTCCTTCCAGATTCTGCACCCTATCATATTATTGTTGTCGCTGCTGCAGCTCAAAACAACCCAATTTGATCCTGTCCTCACAACTCTCAGATCGGGTACACACTTATATCGAACATTCACAATAGCAATGAAGCCTCTGTGGATTAACATGAGATCACCTCTTCGAAATATTGTTGCAGGCACATTTCAGTTCAAGAGGAGCCGTGGGTTCGAATCTCACCGGAGGTATGGATGTTGGCGAGTCGTTTTTGCTCCTCCTTACCGTGGTGTTTTTCATTATTCGACAATCAACCCTTCCGCGGCATGCCACATATCGCTGGCCTGGATAACTCAAACATCACCCAATTCAAATTACTGTGCTCACAACCCCGCTTCTTCCTGTGTCACACTAGTACTTACATCCAACATTCACAGCAGCCACGAAGCCTTTGTAGATCAACATGAGATCACCGCTTCGAAATATTGTTGCAGGTACATTCCAATGCAAGAAGAGACATGGGTTTGAATCCCATCAAGGTATGGGATATCAACCATCAACTTTTTCCCTCTCCCTCTGATTCTTCCTTCCTTACTTGTACTTATACCCAACATCCACAGTAACATTCAAGCCTCTATGGATCAGTGTTAGATCACCTCTTCGAAATATTGGACAGGACACTTTGCAGTGCAAGAGGAGACGTGGGTTCGAATCCCACCAGAGGCTTAATAGGCGCAGTCTGTCCTTTTTCCTCAAACAGCTTGCACCGTTTTTTGGCTCCTCACGTCTTTACGTTGGATTCACAAGCTTCGAGGACCTCACGAGCGAGTTCAGGTTCATCATACAGAAGAGTTTAGAATTGCCAATGGTTACTGGCAACTGTACAACCTCCTCAGCACTTGACTGAATCCATTCTTCTCTTCCCCCCATCCCGAATTACCAAAATAAGAAGTACATGTCTGGGATGAACACTGTTCAAACGAAGAACAACGGGGTTCAAATCGAACTGTGGGAACATGCCCAGAATTGCGGCTTTTCCTTCTCAAATCCGGTACATACCTATATGGAACATGCAAAATCGCAATAAAGCCTCTGTGGATCAGTGCAAGATCACCTCTCCCAAGTATTCGGAGGCTCGCATGTTTGCAGGAGGAGACATGGGTTCGAATCCCATCGGAGGCATAAACCAGTGGGCTAGGATTTTTTCTCGCTCCTTACCGTTGTGTCTTTTTTCCAACAATCAACCCTGTGCTTCAGCCGCTGCGGACCATCATGACTGTTGCCAAAAAAAAAATCAGGCTAAACATAATTCCATGCCAAGTTGAAGTCCTCCATACTGTGATCTTCAACCAATCTTCAACACATTTATTCATCCGCTCACAGTCCTACTCAAGCCTCTGCAGATCACCGTTAGATCCCCTCGGATTTGTTACATGATCCTAGTGACAATGAGTAGTGAGGAGAAGTGTGTTCAATTCCCACCAGAGGCTTAATAGGCGCAGTCTGTCCTTTTTCCTCAAACAGCTTGCACCATTTTTATTGCTCCTCACATCTTTTCCGGTGACAAGCTTCACGGAACTCACGAGGCATGCAAGCCCGAATACACAACCGTGACAGCCTTAGGGCATCAACCCGTGCGTATTACGGCTTACAGCGTAACTCGACCCGTTTCGGTCCGTACCTCAGCCACAACTTTGACATTTGGCCCAAATCTTGGCCCAAACCATGCGGATCAATCATCTTCTTAAATTCGCCTCCCTATTTTCCCCAGTTATGGCCTAAAGTAACCCAAAAAGCGTGGATACTTCCCGATTGGGAAACCCGTATGTGAAATACGGGTTAAAACCTTACGGGCCCGATTCCTTCCCCATTTCATGTTCCACTTGAAATCTCTCTCGCAACAGCAAATTAGGTGCATACGGCTTGGGGGTGGAACACTTAAAGCAGATTCCACAACTATCCTTGACTCACAAAATGGACATCAAAATTTACCCGTAAAAACGGTTTGATGCCCTAGACAGCCTGCCAATTGAATTTCCGCACAACGATCGGCCAAGCCTTGGCTCTCCTCAACATTCGACTGAATGACTTCTTCTCTTCCCCTCATTCTGATACCCAAATAAAATAAGATGTATCTCGGATGCCACTAGTACTTGACGACAGAACACAGGATTCAAACTCCAACCTGCACCCGCTTTTTCCTTCTCAGATCCGGTAAGTACATACTTATCTCGACCATCTACGGTAGCATTCCGATTTGGTACACACTTATCTCGAATATCCACAATAGCATTCAAGCCTCTGTGGATTAACACAAGATCACCTCCGATTGTTAGGCGGGCTTTTGTATTCTGGGGGGAAATGTGGGTTCGAATCCCGCCAGAGGCCTAGACGTATAAAATGCTGTCTTTTCTTCCTGCTCAGTATTTTTGGCTCCCCTACTCGTCTATAAACCCAGTCTAACGGAGAAACACAAACACGAACATCACCAAGCCCGAGTGCTTTTTGGATGTACAAATCAAATTAAGTAATCGTCGGGGATTGCCGCTGCTGCCCGTTAATCGGAGGTTGATGATTAAACGACCCTCACGCCCTTGGGGTCCACTGGTTTGAATTCTACCATCTTTCCTTCCAGATTCTGCACCCTATCATATTATTGTTGTCGCTGCTGCAGCTCAAAACAACCCAATTTGATCCTGTCCTCACAACTCTCAGATCGGGTACACACTTATATCGAACATTCACAATAGCAATGAAGCCTCTGTGGATTAACATGAGATCACCTCTTCGAAATATTGTTGCAGGCACATTTCAGTTCAAGAGGAGCCGTGGGTTCGAATCTCACCGGAGGTATGGATGTTGGCGAGTCGTTTTTGCTCCTCCTTACCGTGGTGTTTTTCATTATTCGACAATCAACCCTTCCGCGGCATGCCACATATCGCTGGCCTGGATAACTCAAACATCACCCAATTTAAATTACTGTGCTCACAACCCCGCTTCTTCCTGTGTCACACTAGTACTTACATCCAACATTCACAGCAGCCATGAAGCCTCCGTGGATTAACACCAGATCACCTCTTTAAAATATTGTTGCAGGCACATTTCAGTGCAAGAGGAGCCGGGTTCGAATCCCATCAGAGGTATGGAATGTCGACCATCAACTTTTTCCCTCCCCCCTGATTCTTCCTTCCTTACCTGTACTTATACCGAACATCCACAGTAACATTCAAGCCTCTATGGATCAGTGTTAGATCACCCTTCAAAATATTGGACAAGACACATTGCAGTGCAAGAGGAGACGTGGGTTCGGTGGGATCGAACCCACGTCTCTCCAGCAAAGTTGAATTTTTTCTTATCCTTAGGTTTTATTTTTCTTAACAATCAACCCTTCCGCGATATGCCACACACAGCTGGCCCAGATAACTCAAACATCACCCAATTAAATTGCCTCTTCCTTTGTCACACTAATACTTACATAACATCCACAGTAGCAATATAAAGCCTCTGTGGATTAACGTGAGATCACCTCTCTCAAGTATGAGGTTTGCATGCCATTTGCAGGAGGAGATGCGGGTTTAATTCCCGCCCAAGGCCTGGGCGCAATCTTGTCTTTTTTTCCTGCTCAGTTTTTTTCGGCTCCCCATACTCGTCCATGAACCCAGTGTAATTTAGAAACACGAACACGAACATCACCAAACCCGAGTGGTTTTGGACAAATCAAGTGGAACGGTCGGGGATCACCGCTACTGGGTTCAAGTGCCCATTAATCCGATCAAACGACCCTCACGCCCTTGGGATTCGCTGGTTTCATTTCTACTGCCTTTCCTTCCACATTCTGCATTCTATCATACTATTATTGTTGCTGCTGCAGCTCAAATCAACCCAGTTCGATATTATACTCACAACTCTTCTTTGGATTTGGTACATACTTATATTGAACATCCACAGTACATTTAAGCCTCTGTGGATCAGCGTGAGATCGCCTCTTCGAAATATAGGACAGGACACGTTGCAGTGTAAGAGGGGACGTGGGTTCGAATCCCACCGGAGGCATATCCCTTCCCCTTGTGTGTGTGTTTTTTCTTTTCTTTGCAATCCCCTTCCTTCGTCCGCCGCTCCCCATTATGACTGTTACCAAAAATCAAGCTGAACAGAATTCCATGCCAGGTTGAACTCATTTTTTTTGGGAGTGATTGGATGTAGAACTTCATACTCCGAGGCTCAAGTACATGACTGCCAGTCAGCCGGATTCCTCTCTCTTCCCCTCATGCCAATTGATGTTACACAAAGAGAAAAGACAAGCACAAGAGTGGGATATGCACCAATCACCAATCGAACCGTGGGAACAATCACCGCTGGGTATTCAACATGCCTAGCCGTTTGTGCGGGATCCCCGTGAGAGGGAGCTGGCTTCCATGTACTTCAAGTGTTCGAGTCTAATGTGATGTAACCCCGACTTCAAAATTCTGCATGCCATCACACTGCTGGCGCTGCAGCAGCTCAAAGCAACCCAGTTCAATATGTACTCACAACTCTCAGATCAGCTATATTCACAATAACAATAAAGCCTCTGTGGATCAATGTGAGATCACCTATTCGAAATCATTGGGTACACCGATTCCAGCACAAGAGGAGATGTGGGTTCAAATCCCACCGGCGGCATGGCCCAGTCGTCTTAGATCTTTTTCCTCCCCCCTCGCCCTTTTTTTCTCTACCCTTCCTTCATCCGCCGTGTTAGCATGACTATTGCCAAAAAAAATTCAAGTTGAACATAATTCCATGGTCCGAATCCAAGTTGAAGTCGATTTACTCCTCCTTTTTTTGGTGTTTGGATTTAGAACTTGCTGCTCAGAGGCCCAAGTACAATTGCCAGCACACCTCTATGGATCAAGATCACTCAGTCGGTTGGGTCGATGATCATGAGTTCTGAAACACACGCGGGTTCGATTCCCGGCAGAGGCTTGGAACTATAGGCATGACATTCTTTTTGCTCCTCGCAGTCTTTTTTTGTCACTCCTGGCCTCAGATTTCTCTTTAAAGGAATGCTATAATGAGCTCGAGGCAAGTCAACGGTCGGGGATGTCCCCATACCGACGGCCTCCTGCAGCCGCTCAATGGGATGCAGATGCATCTCCCCCACGGCCCCGACGAGCGAGGAGAGCGCCGCCCCGGGGTGCAGGACGTGGTGCCCGAGCGGCGTCGCCTCGACGGCGGCCTCGGCGCAGGCGTACCCGTGGTGTACGACGGTCACGATGGAGGTCGCGATGAGCCTGCGGGGAGAGGGAGGGTTAGTGTCGGGGTAGAGTAGAATTGAGGGTAAAACGATAGGATGACAGGATAGGATGAGATGGACGGGATGGGCGGGAACGAAAATGATCGAATGCAAGAAAAGTCAAAGAAAGACGCGGCACTCGCTCGCACTGGCAATGAGGAGCGGCGGAACGGGCCTAGCGCAGCGCTCGAAAACACGATGTACGCACACATCGAGGGAAACAACGCTTCGGCAGCAGCAGCATCGCGCACCATGCAAATGCAGCATGATAGACTACCCACAGCCCCAGACCCAAGTGCATTCCGCCGCCCGCATTCCACCGCCCCATCAGCAGACTCTCCCCCCTTCCGCCTGCTCGGCTTGTGCTCTCCGCGCATCGCCCCGACCCCGCCATCAGCATCGTCCCCGAGCGCGGAACACCGACCCCCACTCGAAACCGTGCGCCTTCCAAGCACTCCCCCCATCCCCCATAGGATAGGATGGGATGGGATGGGATGGGATGGAAGAAAGGATAGACGCGGCACTCGCTCGCGCCGTACAAGCAGGAGCGAGCGGCGGCATCATCCCTAGCGCAGCGCTCGAAAACACGGTATATAAACGCGCGCGCACATCGAGGGGAGGAACGCTTCGGCAGCATCGCGCACCCATGCAAGTGCACGATAATACACCACCCACAATGCCAGCGTCGCCTTCTGACTTGGCCCCAGCACCAAAACCCCGCCCCTTCCAAACGCAAGACGAAGGGAAGGACAGAAAAAAACCCAACTCACCACCCAATCCCCACATAATCCACCCGCGCACACGTCTCCATTGCGCCCTGATGCGCACACCCCGCCATCGTGTGCCAGAGCGCGCTTGCGGCGAGGCACGCAAGGGCGAAGAGGACGAAGAGGCATTCGTTGAGGGGGAGGGGGGGTGCCGTTCCGTCTACTATTTAAGTTAGTAAGGGGTGAAGATGAGGTGGGGGGGGGAGGGGAAAGGAATGTGGGAGGAAAGGGTAGCACAAGGGAAGGGAAGGGAAGGGAGCGTAGGGCAAGCGAAGGGAAGGCGGGGGAGGCGGGGTAAAGGATGCATGTGGGTGGAAGAAGGGAAGGGAAGGGGAAAGGAAAGGACAGGCAAGGACGCACCACCCGCAGCGAACAACGTATACCGCCCCGCGTCCTGCGTCAGCCACCCCGGGAGCACGCAGCCTAGTGCCCATCCCACGCAGCTGACGACCCACCCCAGCCCCGCGCCCACGCCCGACATCACCGGCCTCAACCCCTCCGGCGCATACGCATCCAAACCGGCCGTCAGGGCAGTACCAATCACACCAGAAGAAAGCCCCGGCCACAAAAACACCGCCCCCCAAAGCCCCAACGGCACCAAATGCGTGTACACATTCAAACTCTCGTTGTACCACCACTGCGGCATCGGCAGCAGGGAGAGGAAGAAGAGGTGCGGGCGGTGCAGGGGGATGAAGCGGTAGTTGTGCGCGACGAAGGGGTTGTTCTGCCATGCGGGGGGGAGGGAGGCGTAGGAGAGGAGCTTGGTGCCGGAAGCGGAGAGGAGGAGGGCGTGGGTGTGGGCGGCTAAGTCTGCTGTGTCTGCGTCGGCGGAGGTTGATTGGGGGGAGGCAGAGGGGGCGTCGCGGGAGGAGACGCGCGAGAGGGAGGGGAGATTGGGGAGCGAGGCGGGGAGCGAGGCGAGGAAGGTGTTCACGTCCGCGCGGAAGGTGTCCAACAGCTCGCGCGGGGTGGAAAAGTCAAACACAAAGTCGAAATCAAAGTCAAAGCTGGGGCGGCTGAACTCGAAATCAAAGGTGGGGCGGGAGAAGTCAAAGTCGAAGGTGGGGCGGGAGGGGAGGGAGAAGTCGAGGGAAGGGAACTCGTCTGCGAGGACGCGGTGGAGGGTGCGGAGGCATGTGGAGAGGGTGGGGACGTAGGAGAGGGGGCGCTTGAGGGTCAGGACGTCCTTTACGAGTCCGAGGTCGAGGTCGGGGAGGTCGGGGAGGTGGGAGGAGATGTCGGCGCGGATTGCGCGGAGCATGTCCAGGGCGCGGGCGGCGGGGGAGTCGGTGTCAAAGAGGGCGAGGCGGCGCTCGAGGTCTGCGAGGTAGGACAACACCAGGAAGCGGAGGGAGGCGAGGGCCTGGGCGGGGGAGGCGGCGGGGGACAGGTCCAGTGCTTCGAGGGAGAGCGGGAGGGGCCGGCATGGCGGGAGACGGAGCGGGGCAGCGCGGGCACGGGGGGCGGGGGCGGACATCCGGTGGTGGTGCAGGCGCGGCGGGCGGGCCCCATCCTCAGCGGGAGCAGCCATGCAAGTTGAAACTAAGGAGCAGGTTTCGGCCCGGATGCACTCCACCTTCATCAAACGTTCATCTAAGATCGTGCTCGCTATCGTCGGCATTGGGTGGGTCGCATGCGGTCCTATGCGGTGATCTTCAAACGACTTGAAGCAGTCTAGTGTCTCCTGAGTGTGATTCTAATCAAGTATCGTGCAGGAAATTTAAACTCGCTGTGCTTCTATTCATACTTACGTTCACAGCAGTACTCAAGCCTCTGCAGATCATCGGAAGATTGCCTCAAATTGTTGAACGATAATATAACCCATTAGTGAGGAGACGTGGGTTCGATTCCCGCCGGAGGCTTTGGGTCTGCACCGCCTTTTTTGCTCCTCACGTCTTTACCTTCGATTCATAAGCTTTAAGGAACTCACAAGGGATGCAAGGCCGAATACACAAGAGGCTGTTAATTGTGTTTCCACACAACCGATTCAACCAAGCGTTGGTTTTCCACAACGGTTGACTGAGTCCCTTCTTTTCTTCCCTCATTTCAAATGACCAGGGGATAGACAATTCAAACAAAGATCAACATGCGAGTCTGTTCAAATCAAACCGTGGGAACTGCTCGGTTTTCCTTGTCTCATGTTAAGCTTCTGCAGATCAGGTGTCTACTAATTATATCGAACATTTTCAATAGCAATGAAGCCTTCTGTCGATCAGCGTGAGATCACCTCTCCCAAGTATTCGGAGGCTCGCATGTTTGCAGGAGGAGACATGGGTTCAAATCCTATCAGAGGCATAGGGTGTTGTCCAGAAGATTTTTCCTCCTCCGTCCCCCTGATTTATTTCACCCTGGTTCTTCCTTCCTTTAAGCTTACTGTACTTATATCCTACATTCATAATGCCTCTGTGGATCAACGTGAGATCACCTCCGACTACTTGGCGACAGAAGAGAATTCTCGGGGAGATGTGGGTTCAAATCCCGCCAGAGGCTTACAGCCATTTGCAGAACTTAGGGCGCGGGCTGTTTTTTTTTTTTCTCCACTTTTCAATGATAATCATGATTGTGAGCTCAGTTCTTGTCTGTTTGCCTTGTAAATATGCTCATTGTGTTCGCAATGCAAATGCGGAGGGTACCACGGTCCCCTTTTTTCCTGATGCGATCATAATTGCCTTATTGGGAAAATATCGGCTTTTTTGTACAGAACTTGTTGCATACTCTGTGTTATGATCAGATTGACCTATAAATTTGAGACAACACACTTGTGAGTATTACGAAGGGCTAGAGATACCGGTATTTTATATATCACATCTATTTCTCATATACAAGGTATTCAGATATCTCTCACCATGAGAATGCAGAATACCGGTGAAATAAAGCACACATTCAAAATACCGGTATCTCTAGCCCTTTGTAATACTCACAAGTGTGTTGTCTCAAATTTATAGGTCAATCTGACCATAACATAGAGTATGCGACAAGTTCTGTACAAAAAGGCCAATATTTTCCCAATAAGGCAATTATGATCGCATCAGGAAAAACGGGGACCGTGGTACCCTCCGCATTTGTATTGCGAACACAATGAGCATATTTACAAGGCAAACGGACAAGAACTGAGCTCACAATAATGATTATCATTGAAAAGTGGAGAAAAAAAAAAAAACAGCCCGCGCCCTAAGTTCTGCAAATGGCTGTAAATGGTTCCCAAAAGTCTTTTTTCCTCCTCAGCACGTTCTTTTTTTTTTTGCTCCTGGCCTTCTCTTTACAGGGGAATGCTATGGTGAGGGAGTCTGAGTCGATGGAGGTACCTACAGAAGTTGACAGCGACACAACAGACTTAGGCAGGCAAGTTTCCCGTAACTTGGCAATGGTTTTCCTCAACAGCCCGCACAATTCATCCCCTCATCCCATCTTCCCCTTGTTCAATTCGGAAATACTGAATATTTTCACAACGCAAGACGGAATCTTTTCAGATCGAACCGTGCGAACACCTCTGCCAATTGCCGTTCTGCTCCACTTCTTCCTTCCTTCTCAGATCCGGTGAACACATATATCGGACATCCACAGTAACATTCAAGCATCTGTGGATCAGCGTGAGATCACCTTTCCCAAGTATGAGGTTCGCAAATTCCTGTGCAAGAGGAGACGTGGGTTCGAATCCCACCAGAGGCATGCCACTGCGTCAACACACGTTTTCCTCCCCCCTACCCGGGCCGTTGTCTTTTTCTGCAGCATACTACATACCGCTGGCCCAGATAACTCAAACATTACCCAATTCGATTGCCTCTTCCTTTGTCACACTAGTGCTAGTACTTGCTTAATGTACATCCAACATCCACAATGGCATCCAAGCCTCTGTGGATCAGTGTTAGGTCACCTCTCCCAAGTATTCAATTTGCATATCCAGTGTAAGAGGAGACGTGGGTTCGAATCCCACCAGAGGCATAGCCAGCGGGCCAAGATTTTTTCCTCCTACCGTTTCTTTCTCAACAGTCATCCTTCCTTCCTCCGCCGCTGCCCATCATGACTGTGGCCAAAGAAAAATCAAGTGGAACAGAATTCCACACCAAGTTGAAGTCCGTGCTCACCGTCGCCGCCGTTTGCATCCGCTCCATACTGTGATCTTCAACACATTTATTCATACGCTCACAGTCCTACTCAAGCCTCTGCAGATCACCGGGAGATCGTCTCGGATTTGTTACACAATAACCGTAGCGTTAGGGAGGAGAAATGGGTTCGATTCCCAACAGAGGCTTGCGTAAAATACATGCGCCTTTTTCCTCAAACAGCCTGCACTGTCTTTTTTGCTCCTCGCATCTTTATAACAATTCACAAGCTTCAAGGAAGCTGGCACGAGGGATGCAAGCCCGAATACATGAGTTTGTCAATTGGTTTCCGCACAACGGACTCGGGCAAGCCTTAGCTTCCCTCAATAGTCGACTGAATCCCTTCAAGTTCTTTCCCTCATCCCGAATTACCAAAATAAGAAGTACATGTCTGGGATGAACACTGTTCAAACGAAGAACAACGGGGTTCAAATCGAACCGTGGGAACATGCCCAGAATTGCGGCTTTTCCTTCTCAAATCCAGTACACACTTATATCAAACATCCACAATAGCCATGAAGCCTCTGTGGATCAGTGTTAGATCACCTCTTCGAAATATTGCCGTTGTACTCCAGTGCAAGAGAAGACGTGGGTTTGAATCCCACCAGAGGCATAAACCATTGGGCCAGGATTTTTTCTCGCTCCTTACCGTTGTGTCTTTTTTCCAACAATCAACCCTGTGCTTCAGCCGCTGCGGACCATCATGACTGTTGCCAAAAAAAAAATCAGGCTAAACAGCATTCCATGCCAAGTTGAAGTCCTCCATACTGTGATCTTTAACATACGCTCACAGTCCTACTCAGGCCTCTGCAGATCACCGGAGATCGCCTCGAATTTGTTACACGATCCTAGTGACAACAAGTAGCGAGGAGAAGTGGGTTCGATTCCCACCAGAGGCTTAAACAGGTCGACTCAGGCCTTTTTCCTCGACCAGCTGACACCGTATTTTTTACTCCTCATGTCTTTACGTTGGATTTGCAAGCTTCAAGGAACTCATACAAGCCCGAATACGCAACAGTTTCCCAATTGGGTTGCCGCACAACAAACTCGACCGAGCCTTGGCTTCCCTCAACAGCTGACTGATCCCTTCACATTTTTCTCTTCCATGACCAAAATAAGAGGACCATATCTTGGATGAACACTGTTCAAACGAACTTACACCGTGAGCCGAGGTTCAAATGGAGCCTGGGAACATCCCCAGAATTGCGGCTCTTTCTCCTCAGATCCGGTGAGTACATACTTATATCGAACAGATACAATAGCCGTGAAGCCTCTGTGGATCAGTGTTAGATCACCTCTTCGAAATATTGCCGTTGTACTCCAGTGCAAGAGGAGATGTGGGTTTGAATCTCACCAGAGGCATAAACCATTGGGCCAGGATTTTTTCCCACTCCTTACCGTTGTGTCTTTTTTCCAATAATCAACCCTTTGCTTCAGCCGCTGCGGACCATCATGACTGTTGCCAAAAAAAAAATCAGGCTAAACAGAATTCCATGCCAAGTTGAAGTCCTCCATGCTGTGATATTCAACCAATCTTCAACACATTTATTCATACACTCACAGTCCTACTCAGGCCTCTGTAAATCACAGGGAGATCGCCTCGGATTTGTTACACAATACTAGGGACAACGAGTAGTGAGGAGAAGTGTGTTCAATTCCCACCAGAGGCTTAAACCGGTCGACTCAGGCCTTTTTGCTCGACCAGCTGACACCGTATTTTTTGCTCCTCATGTCTTTATGTTGGGTTCACAAGCTTTAAGAAACTCACGAGGCATGCAAGGGCAAATACACAACTGTTTCCCAATTGGGTTTCAGCACTACGGACTCGCCCAAGCCTTGGCTCGAACATCCCGTGCCATCTTGTTTTGCTCCCCACATCTTTACCTTGGATTCACAACCTTCAAGAAACTCACGAGGGAGAACCACAGCGCAGGCTGGGGTTCAAATCGAACTGTGGGAACCTCCCAGAATTGCGGCTTTTGCCTTCTTAGATCCGGTACACACTTATATCGAACATCCACAATAGTAATAAAGCCTCTGTGGATCAACGTGAGATCACCCTCCCAAGTATTTGAGTGCAGGTTCTTCTGCAAGAGGAGACGTGGGTTCGAATCCCACTCGAGGCATATTGCGCATGACTTTTTCCTCCTCCCTCCCTACTGTTTTTTTCAACAGTCCCCGTCCTTCGTCCGCCGGTGCCCATTATGAATAACTATTATCAAAAAGAAAAAATCAAGTCGAACAGAATTCCACGCCAAGTTGAAGTCTATTTACTCCTCCGTGTTTGAATTTAGAACTTGCTCCTTTGTAGGCGGAAGTACAAGCATGCCCCTGTGATCGAAAATCCACAGTAGCATCCAAGCCTCTGTGGATTAACCTGAGATCACCTCTCCCGAGTATTCGCTTGGCAGATCCAGTGCAAGAGGAGATGTGGGTTCAAATCCTACCAAAGGCATACTACTGCGTCAACTCGGATTTTCCTCCTCCCTACCGTTTTTTTTTTTCAACAATCAACCCTTCTTTCGTCCGCTTGAAGTCTATTTATCTACTCCTCCTTTTTGGGAGTGTTTGGATGTGGAACTTGCTGCTCTGAGGTCCAAGTAAGTGCACACCTCTATGGACAATTGGATCGAACATCCGCAATAGCAATGAAGCCTCTGTGGATCAGCCCAAGATCACCTCTCCTAAGTATTCGGTTCGCAAGTCCACTGCAAGAGGAGACGTGGGTTTGAATCCCACCGGAGGTATGGAACCTTGGCCTGCATTCTTCCCCCCTCCCTCCGTGTTTTTTTCTTCCTTTTCCTCAACAATCAACCCTTCCTTCATCCGTCGCGTCAGCATGACCGTTACCAAAAAAAAGAAAAAATCAAGTTGAACAGAATCCCATGCCAAGTTGAAGTCTGTGCTCGCCGTCGTCGCCGTTTGCGTCCGCTCCATACTGTGATCTTCAACACATCTATTCATACGCTCACGGTCCTCCTCAAGCCTCTGTAGATCAACAGGGAGATCACCTCGGATTGTTGCATAACAATAAAAGCAGGTTAGTGAGGAGAAGTGGGTTCGATTCCCACCCGAGGCTTAATTAATGAGTCCAAATGCCATTTTTGCTGGAACAGCCCGCACCGTATTTTTTTTTGCTCCTCACGTCTTTACGTTGGGTTCACAAGCTTCAGGGAACTCACGAGGCATGCAAGGGCAAATACACAACTGTTTCCCAATTGGGTTTCAGCACTACGGACTCGCCCAAGCCTTGGCTCGAACATCCCGTGCCATCTTGTTTTGCTCCCCACATCTTTACCTTGGATTCACAAGCTTCAAGAAACTCACGAGGGAGAACCACAGTGCGGGCTGGGGTCCAAATCGAACCGTGAGAACATCCCCAGAATTGCGGCTCTTTCTCCTCAGATCCTGTACATACCTATATTGGACATCCGCAATAGCCATGAAGCCTCTGTGGATCAGTGTTAGATCACCTCTTCAAAATATTGTTGCAGGTACATTGCACTGCAAGAGGAGCCGTGGGTTCAAATCCCACCGGAGGCATGTAAGCTCAACGAATTGTTTTTTTCCCTCCCCCCTACGGTTTGCCGGAAGGACTCGGATGGATTTAATATTGAAACATATTCGGCAGTTTGACTCTGGCTGGATACATTTATTCTTACGGTTCAGCTGTTGGATGTCTGGAGTATCTGAGGCTGAACTGGTGTGAGTAGACTGGACCACAACCCTACACCGAAGTTTCACACATCCTAGCAGTTTGCTCAGGGCTCTAAGTGGTCCAAATTGGTTCGAACCCTCCCATTTCCTGCTTTTCCCTTATAGTCTTCCGGAATCAGTTGCTTCAGTTGGAAGCTCGCTAAGCAACCGAGGGAAGTTGTTGCCGGCCCATCAAATAAGGCTGTTTTTTCTGGGCCCCCGTGAAGCACCAAGTAAACTCGAGGACAGTACTGGAGTAAGTGTATAATGTTCTGTCTTCATGTGTTGATGTCTAGCCCAGATTCAAATGGAATGAGGACACTGAATTTCACAACAGGCATTCAATCTCCGCTGAGGGGTGATCTGCCGCCAGTTTGCCGCGGTAAAGGATCAAATACCCTCGCAGTCGGCATTCATGGCATGCAAAGAAAGGCTTTAAGTAGCTGAGGAATGGCCTTCTGGCACTATCCCGCGGCATCCGGAGAGGATTTGACCTCACGGGCATGCAGTAATGACGGTTATATTAACTGTGTTTTGCGGGAATCGAACCACCGACCACTTTTCAAAATAAATCCATCCAAGTCCTTCCGGCAAACCGTAGTATGGGTCATCATGTCAAAGATGAGAATACCCATAGCATTCGTACTGAGTCTCCCCGATGAACCTTGCAAGCATCAATACCGGGCAGAAAATTTAGAATGAACACATACCTTGTATGTCCGCAAGGACAATAGCACCTTCACTCCACTGGAAGGCATAGTTATTTTGCCCTAAAGATCAACTCAACCCTAGTCTCTCCAAACAGACACTCTATAAAAAATGTGCTCGTGCCTCGCGTTATAGAACTCGACCCGTCAATGGGTCCACCCGTCCCTTACCCGTCCGTCAGAAAATATGACTTCGTTGCTCGTCGGCTGGGACCCGCCCTGTTGCGACGGGACCCGTCGCCGTCGCTGGCTGCATTAACCGTATGGTGTTCCCTACCCAAACTAGGTGGTAAGGATAAATGTACTCAGCCGGATTCGAACCGCCGCCAGTCTCCCAAAAGAAATCCATCCGAGTCCTTCCGGCAAACCGTACCCCCCTCCCCTTGTGTTTTCTTTTGCTTTTCAACAGTTCACCCTTCCTTTATCCACCGCCGCGTCAGCATGAGTGTTGTGGGAAATATATATATATTGAATCGGACAGACAAGTTGAAGTTCATTTACTTCTCCTTTTTGGGAGCATTTGGATGTGGAATTCCTTACTCCGAGCGCCTGGGTACAATTGCAAGCACACCTCTGTGGATCAAGATCACTAAAGTCCTTCGGGTCGATGATTTCTCAGACACACGGGTTTGATTCCCGCCGGAGGTTTGGACCGCGTCATGCACAGTTTTTCTTCTTTTCTTCGTCATGGTGTAAATAATGTGTCACAGAAAGCCCATGCTTAGTTTCCACACGACAATCTCAAGCAATTCGTGTGTTTCCTTGGCAGGTAATGCCAGTTGACTGAATCCCTTCTTCTCTTTCCCTCATTCCACTTGAACGAAATGAAAAATTGTATTGTATTGGATGAACACAGTTTCACGGAGAGAAAGAGATCAATGGTTGTGAACATTGGCAAGTAAGATCCGTACTTGCTGTCATCAGCGTTGGGTGGGTCCTGCGTCCGCTCCATGCGGTGACGTTCATCGCTGGTTGTCAAACACGGTCTTGCACACTTTATTGATGCTTATATTCACAGTACTCAAGCCCCTGCAGATCACCGGGAGATCGCCTCGGATTGTTGTTACGCGAAAATACAAGCCCTTAGTGAGGAGACGTGGGTTCGATTCCCGCCAGAGGCATTTGAACGCCACCTGGAATTTTTTCCTCAAACAGCCTGCACCGTCTTTTTTGCTCCTCACATCTTCACCTTCGATGCACAAGTTTCAAGGACACCACTGAGGATGCAAGCCCGAATGTATGAGTTTGTGAACTGCATCTCCGCACAACGGACTCGACCAACCCTTGGCTTTCCTCAACAGTCGACTGAATCCCTTCTTCTCTTCCCCTCATTCCAAATGACCAAAATAAGAAGTTGTCTGGGATGAACACTGTTTAAACGAAGAACAACGGGGTTCAAATCGAACCGTGGGAACCTCACCAGAACTGCGGCTTTTTCCTTCTCAGATCCAGTACACACTTATATCAAACATCCACAATAGCCATGAAGCCTCTGTGGATCAGTGTTAGATCACCTCTTCGAAATATTGCCGTTGTACTCCAGTGCAAGAGGAGATGTGGGTTTGAATCTCACCAGAGGCATAAACCATTGGGCCAGGATTTTTTCCCACTCCTTACCGTTGTGTCTTTTTTCCAACAATCAAGCCTTTGCTTCAGCCGCTGCGGACCATCATGACTGTTGCCAAAAAAAAAAATCAGGCTGAACAGAATTCCATGCCAAGTTGAAGTCCTCCATACTGTGATCTTCAACCAATCTTCAACACATTTATTCATCCGCTCACAGTCCTACTCAAGCCTCTGCAGATCACCGTTAGATCCCCCGGATTTGTTACACGATTCTAGTGACAATGAGTAGTGAGGAGAAGTGTATTCAATTCCCACCAGAGGCTTAATAGGCACAGTCTGTCCTTTTTCCTCAAACAGCTTGCACCGTTTTTATTGCTCCTCATGTCTTTTCCGTTGACAAGCTTCAAGGAACTCACGAGCGAGTTTAGGTTCATCCAAAGCTGAATACAGAAGAGTTTAGCATTGTCAATTGGGTTACTGCACAACGTCCTCAACAGTTCACTGAATCCCTTCTTCTCTTCCCCTCATTCTAGATGACCAAAATAAAAGGTACATATCTTGGATGAACACTGTTCAAACGAACTTACACCGTGAGCTGGGGGTTCAAATCGAACCGTGGGAACATCCCCAGAATTGCCGTTCCACTCCACTTCTTCCTTCCTTCTCAGATCCGGTGCACACTTATATCGAACATCCACAGTAGCATGAAGCCTCTGTGGATCAGCGTAGATCACCTCTCCCAAGTATGAGGTTAGTATGTTTGCAGGAGGAGACGTGGGTTCAAATCCCACCGGAGGCATGCCACTGCGTCAACGCACGTTTTCCTCCTCCCTACCCGGGCCGTTGTCTTTTTCTGCGGCATACCACATACCGCTGGCCCAGATAACTCAAACATCACGCAATTCAATTGCCTCTTCCTTTGTCACACTAGTACTTACATAACATGAACAGTAGCAATATGAAGCCTCTGTGGATTAACGTGAGATCACCTTTCTCAAGTTTAAGGTTTGCATGCATGCCATTTGCAGGAGGAGATGTGGGTTCGATTCCCGCCAGCGGCCTAGGTGCAATCTTGTCTTTTTTTCCTGCTCACTTTTTTTTGGCTCCCCTACTCGTCTATAGACCTAGTGTAATGCAGAAACACGAACACGAACATCACCAAGCCCGAGTGGTTTTGGTACAAATCAAGTTGAACCGTGGGAAACCCTCGGGGATTGGTTCAAGCATTGCCTTACTACCAGTTACTCACAAGTGTTCAAGCCTCTGTGGATTAACGTGAGATCACCTATTCAAAATCATTGGGTACACCGATTCCAGCACAAGAGGAGACGTGGGTTCAAATCCCACCGGCGGCATGGCCCAGTCGTCTTAGATCTTTTTCCTCCCCCCTCACCCTTTCTTTCTCTACCCTTCCTTCATCTGCCGTGTTAGCATGACTATTGCCAAAAAAAATTCAAGTTGAACATAATTCCATGGTCCGAATCCAAGTTGAAGTTGATTTACTCCTCCTTTTTTTGGTGTTTGGATTTAGAACTTGCTGCTCAGAGGCCCAAGTACAATTGCCAGCACACCTCTATGGATCAAGATCACTCAGTCGGTTCGGTCGATGATCATGAGTTCTGAACCACATTCGATTCCCGGCAGAGGCTTGTAACCATATGCATGACATTCTTTTTGCTCCTCGCAGTCTTTTTTTGTTACTCCTGGCCTCAGATTCTCTTTAAAGGAATGCTATAATGAGCTCGAGGCAAGTCAACGGTCGGGGATGTCCCCATACCGACGGCCTCCTGCAGCCGCTCGATAGGATGCAGATGCATCTCCCCCACGGCCTCGACGAACGAGGAGACGGGGTGCAGGACGCGGTGCCCGAGCGGCGTCGCCTCGACGGCGGCCTTGGCGCAGGCGTACCCGTGGTGCACGACGGTCGCAATGGAGGTTGCAATGAGCCTGGGGTGGGAGGGAAGGGTTAGTGTCGGGTAGAGTAAAGTAGAATTGAGGGAAAAGTAAAGTAGGATAGGATACAATACGATATGATACGAGGACAAAGAAAGATGCGGTGCTTGCGCCGCACGAGCAGGAGCAAGCGGCGGCATCATCCCTAGCGCAGCGCAGCCCTCGGTATATAAACGCGCGCGCGCATCGAGGGAAAGAACACTTTAGCAGCGACAGCAGATTCTCCCTCTGCCTCTGTCGCCCCCCCTCCCCACCCCACCGCCGCCTTCCGACTTGGCCCACCACCAAAACACCTCAAAACCATGCCCCTCGCATAGGACAGAAAGCAAAAAAACAGCACTCACCACCCAATCCCCACATAATCCACCCTCACACACGTCTCCATCGCGCCCCGATGCGCACACCCCGCCATGGTGTGCCAGAGCGCGCTCGCGGCGAGGCACGCGAGCGCGAAGAGGACGAAGAGGTGTTCGTCCATTGGGAGTGGGAGGGGGGCGGGGGCGTCTGTGTGATATGTAAGGTATCCGCCGTCCACCCTCGACGAACGTCACGTGGTGCGGTGTGACAATTTCCTAATCGGGATGACCTGACCAAAGAATCCTGTAAAATAATTAGTAGGCCGAAATTGCGAAAACCCTTCGTCAAAAAGTTGCTTTTTGTAGTAATCTTGATTCTGAGCGACAAAAAACGGCACTAAAGGGTGATTTGGCTGAAGAGTTAGCAAATCCGTCAAAATTAGCTACTTTTCTGCCACGCTGGCGCGCAGCGTAAGGCGCAGTCCATGCCAAAGGACTCGAAGCTCAAGAAGGCGCGGGCAGCCAAGCTACTGAAGAGTTTAGGCAATATAGGGACCCAGACTAAACGTGTATGGGACGAGGTTAGCCCCAAAAAGCTCAAAAAATGGCTCTCCCCACGGAAAAAGCACAAGGAGAATGACCCAGTGTGTAGGCCATATGCCTTGTATTTACTCACAGTGAATTGGCTTCCAGGTTGAAGACACGGTAGATACGGAGTCGAGTCTAATTAGAGACGCGTCTGACGCGTCGGCTACGGAAGATCCATTTAGCGCGTCGATCCAATGTTTTCCCATCCCAGGAATGACATCGGAGTCCCCTTCCGGCACGCCGGCAGCCCGTGCATTCCGTTGGAAACTGCCAAAGGCTACAGTCGAGGAGGTCGACGATGAAGATGACCGACTCTCCACATATACATTTCCGGCTCCTGAGCCCGCCCGCCTGTTCTGCTCACCCTCCTCTGCCTCTCTCCCTCTTGGTCCCGACAATCCCCCGACATCACCTTCCGACGATCCCCGCGACTCGGTGAATATTCCGGAGGCCGAAGATGAACTCTTGGCGACATCACCTTCCCACGATGACAATTACCCGAGGCCACTTGCACCCCGTCCCTTTCTCGAGCGCATGCACGAACAGGCTACGCGCCAAGGAACACTGCGGCAGGCCCCGAATCTCGGCGAGGCCAAGGCAGCTTTGGATTGCCTACAACGTTACATGCGCGGAGAATTGCGGGGTACTGATCTTTTTGGACTACGCGGTGTCGGCTACAAAGATCCAAATATCAGTGCTTTTACACGCAACCGACTGATTGTCATTCGAACAATGCTGAACTTTTATGTCGCCGCGGAGGGAGTTACTTATGGCCAATGGGGTGGATCTGCTCGGTTGGCGGCTCTCGGTCTTGGACGTGGTAAACACTGCGCGCGCGTACTGTGTGCTCTTGCGCGGCAGTGGATTATCAACCGTGAAGTTTTGGATTTGAATCCCTATGGAGAGTGGAATGAGAGCATGCTGTCGGACGAGGATCTCGCAAACGACATCCGTCTTCATTTGCAGTCTCTTGGGAAAGAGATTACGGCCGAAAAACTGGTGGATTACTTGAATTCTCCGGAAGTGCGCGAGTCGCACAACATTGACAAGCCTGTATCATTGACCACAGCACACCGTTATCTTGACGAGCTCGGTTATAGGTAAGTCATTGGTTATGGTCGGTTTCTGTTGCTTATATTCAGTAATTTGCAGATTTAAAGCTCCTAAGAAAGGCCAGTATGTCGATGGACATGAACGTCCAGATGTCGTTTATTATCGGGACAACATTTATCTCCCGCGGTACTTCAAGCTCCAGGAACGAGTCCACGTCTTCGATAATGACGGTAACCCCATCCACAACGACTTTAGCGAGACAGGACGCCGGGTTATCATTTGGTATCATGACGAGAGTATTTTTTATGCACACGATCGGCGACACAAGACATGGTATCACAAAGACTCCCCGGCGAAACCATACCAAAAGGGCGAGGGATATTCATTCATGGTTGCCGACTACTTCTCCGCAGATTTTGGTTGGCTCCGTGATCCGAAGAATCCAAAACGCAACGCGCGCCGGTCCATGCGCCCAGGAAAAGGCCGTGATGGATACTTTACCTCCGTTGAGGTCCGGGAACAGGCAGTGGCCGCCCGCGCTCTAGTCAAGGAGCTTTATCCCGATTTTGACCATGTCTTTGTCTATGACAACGCTACTACTCACAAGAAGCGGTCGGAAGGTTCCCTTTCTGCGCGCAGCATGCCAAAGGGGCCTTCTGGCACTCGAAGGGGGGCCGAGTCCGCCAACTTCCTTGTCGAGGTGAACGTACGGGATGCAGAAGGGAAGCAGGTTCATGATACCAAGGGTAACCTCGTCAAGGAGAAGATTAAAATGTCCGGGGCGCAGTTTGACGACGGCACACCCCAGGACCTTTATTACGGTGAAGACCACCCACGTCATCCCGGCAAGTTCAAAGGGATGAAACAGATCCTGGAGGAGCGTGGGATGCACGAGTATAGTGATTTGCGAACTGAATGCCCTAATTTCAAGTGCGCAGATCCCGGTGAAGAATCAAAATGTTGCTGCCGGCGGGTGGTCTTCAATCTTGCCGACTTCGCGGCTACCAAGTCTCTTCCGGAGGAGGATTGTGAACGCGACGGCGTGGAGGTTCTTTTTCTGCCGAAATTTCATTGTGAGCTTAACCCCATTGAGATGGTGTGGGGATACGCCAAGCGGCTGTATCGGCTGAAGCCCGGGTCATCGCGGGAAGATGTGCTGGAGAAAAATACAATGGAGTCTTTGGACGCTGTCCCTCTGCTCTCGATGAGGAGGTAAGTTCGATTTTACTCTTGTGTTGCCTTACTTCCACCTGATCCATATTGACAGATTTGTCAATCGTTCGCATCGCTTTGGAGATGCCTACTTTAATCACAGGCTTACGGGACCACAAGCGGCATGGATTGCCAAGAGATTCCCCGGCCACCGAACCTACCCAGCGTCCATCTTGGAACAACTCGACGCGGCAGGCATTAATTAGAAGTAAATTTCATACTAATTTTGTATCTCCTCATGCTAATTAGGTCTGATGGCCCTAAACTTTTGTATATAATTACCTTGTACATATATCCATAATCTTGACGAAGGGATTTGGCCCTAGGTACCTCGTTGTGTCAATACTAATATTTTTCGTTGGTCGCGCCCGATAAGGAAATGTGACTGTGACAGCACGTGACGTTCGTCGAGGGTAGACGGCGGATACCTTATTAGACAGTTTGGGGGATGGGTGAGACGGAGCGAAGGAGAAAGGAATGTGGGAGGAAAGGGTAGCACAAGGGAAGGGAAGGGAAGGGAGCGAAGGGAAGGTGGGGAAGGCGGGGTAAAGGATGCATGTGGGTGGAAGAAGGGAAGGGAAGGGGAAAGGGATGAGGGAGGGAGGGACGCACCCGCAGCGAACAATGTATACCGCCCCGCGTCCTGCGTCAGCCACTCGGGGAGCACGCAGCCTAGTGCCCATCCTACCCAGCTTACAACCCATCCCACCCCCGCGCCCACCGGCCTCAACCACTCCGGCACATATCCCTCCAACCCCGCCGTCACAGCACCCAAAGACACCCCCGGCCACAAAAACGCACCCCCCCCACAAAAAGAGGGGCACCAAATGCGTGTACACATTAAGACTCTCGTTGTGCCACCACCGCGGCGCGGGGAGGAGCGAGCGGAGGAGGCGGTGCGGGCGGTGGAGTGGGATGAAGCGGTAGTTGTGCGCGATGAAGGCGTTGTTCTGCCATGCGGGGGGGAGGTCGGGGTAGGAGAGGTGCTTGGTGCCGTGGGCGGAGAGGGTAAGGGCAAGGGTGTGGGCGGCGGCGTCTGCTGCGTCCGCCTCGGGGTCTTGTGCGGGGGGTGATTTGGGAGAGGCGGAGGCAGAGGCGGCGTCGCGGGAGGAGACGCGCAAGAGGGAGGGGAGGGCGGGGAGGGAGGGGAGCGAGGCGGGGAGCGAGGTGAGGAAGGCGTCGACGTCCGCGCGGAAGGCATCCAACAGCTCGCGCGGCGTCGTAAAGTCAAACTCGAAATCAAAATCAAAGTC